ATGATGATGTAATACTGATGTCACAATGACAGGATATCATGTAATACTGATGTCACAATTACTGCATATGATGTAATACTGATGTCACAATGACAGGATATGATGTAATGATGATATCACAATGACAGGATATGATGTTATGCTGATGTCACAATGACAGGATATGATGTAATACTGATGTCACAATGGCAGGATATGATGTAATATTGATGTCACAATGACAGGATATGATGTAATACTGATGTCACAATGACAGGATATGATGTAATACTGATGTCACAAAGACAGGATATGATGTAATACTGATGTCACAATGACCGGATATCATGTAATACTGATGTCACAGTGACCGATTATGATGTAATACTGATGTCACAATGACAGGATATGATGCAATAATGATGTCACAATGACAGGATATGATGCAATAATGATGTCACAATGAACAGATATGATGTAATAATTTCATCACAATGTCCAGATATGATGTAATATTGACGGCACAATGACGGATATGATGTAATAAAAAGTCATAAGTATAACTGACATAGAATCAATGTTTTTCACTATCTGCACCAGGTGCAACCAAGTTAATCAATCAGGTTGCACCATCAAAATACTGGCTGCTCGATACTAGCAACAATCCTATCACTGTCGATGACAGCAGATGATTCCTTATCAGCAGACCAAGTGCACTAGAGGAAGAGTCTCCTTCCCTCTACGTCCTGGCAGTGATGAGGCAGCGTAATAATTGTTCAACAACTATTCTCACTGTGTACGTTTCTAAGATTACCAGCTATTACGGTAATCTCTCCCACCTCCGAATCAATTATCTCAAGGTTTTGGTAGTGCTGTTGAAGGAACAACTAGTTGACTTCTACGGAACAACTGAAGTATACTTATAACTGAAGCATTGTTTTAGAGTGACTGCTGCAATAGATGCACGAATATTGGCAATGGGGTAACAGATGTAAAAGTTTCATCAGAATGAAACAGAACTTATGCATGGCATACCAGAAGAAACGAAACCAATTACAACATTTCATTACATTTTGTACAAAATTAGTAATCACCGTTAGATGTTTCAGCTTTCTGTGTGGTTGAAAAACAAGGGTACAATCAAATTTTAAAATAGTGCATTGTCTTTATTCAAACTAGAGCAGTAAAAATCTTTGTTACAAGGAACAAACGCATACACAGCTACACAAATTTAGTCCTACTTCAAATTTGGGCTATGAATATTAGTGACAAAAAACATTTCACAGTCTTAGGAAAACAGCCAGATGCAGAGTACATCGTATGATTGTATGACTATATCATAAACAAACAGTTACTATACCCAAAGTGAATAAAAGATCACGACCTGGAGCACTTACCGACTCCGATTTCCGCCTGGCCTCCACCACTCGGTTCATGTAACCAAAGAAGAACTTTCTGGGTGCCACTGACATAACCCCCACATCTAGAGCCTCAAACACATACTTCATGAAGGGGAACATCACTGAAACAATCAACACCCCCACATCTAGAGCCACAAACACATACTTCACGAAGGGGAACATCACTGAAACAATCAACACCCCCGCATCTAGAGCCTCAAACACGTACTTCATGAAGGGGAACATCACTGAAACAATCAACACCCCCCGCATCTAGAGCCTCAAACACGTACTTCGTGAAGGGGAACATCACTGAAACAATCAACACCCCTACATATAGAGCCTCAAACACTTACTTCATGAAGGGGAACATCACTGAAACAATCAACACCCCCACATCTAGAGCCTCAAATACGCACTTCATGAAGGGGAACATCACTGAAACAATCAACACCCCGACATCTAGAGCCTCAAACAAACACTTCATGAAGGGGAACATCACTGAAACAATCAACACCCCTACATATAGAGCCTCAAACAAACACTTCATGAAGGGGAACATCACTGAAACAATCAACACCCCCACATCTAGAGCCTCAAACAAACACTTCATGAAGGGGAACATCACTGAAACAATCAACACCCCTACATATAGAGCCTCAAACAAACACTTCATGAAGGGGAACATCACTGAAACAATCAACACCCCACATCTAGAGCCTCAAACACGCACTTCATGAAAGGGAACATCACTGAAACAATCAACACCCCCACATCTAGAGCCTCAAACAAACACTTCATGAAGGGGAACATCACTGAAACAATCAACACCCCCACATCTAGAGCCTCAAACACGCACTTCATGAAAGGGAACATCACTGAAACAATCAACACCCCCACATCTAGAGCCTCAAACAAATACTTCATGAAGGGGAACATCACTGAGACAATCAACACCCCCACATCTGGAGCCTCAAACAAACACTTCATGCAGGGGAACATCACTGAAACAATCAAAACCCCCACATCTAGAGCCTCAAACAAATACTTTATGAAGGGGAACATCCCTGAAACAATCAACACCCCCACATCTAGAGCCTCAAACACATACTTCATGAAGGGGAACATCACTGAAACAATCAACACCCCCACATCTAGAGCCACAAACACATACTTCACGAAGGGGAACATCACTGAAACAATCAACACCCCCGCATCTAGAGCCTCAAACACGTACTTCATGAAGGGGAACATCACTGAAACAATCAACACCCCCCGCATCTAGAGCCTCAAACACGTACTTCGTGAAGGGGAACATCACTGAAACAATCAACACCCCTACATATAGAGCCTCAAACACTTACTTCATGAAGGGGAACATCACTGAAACAATCAACACCCCCACATCTAGAGCCTCAAATACGCACTTCATGAAGGGGAACATCACTGAAACAATCAACACCCCCACATCTAGAGCCTCAAACACGCACTTCATGAAAGGGAACATCACTGAAACAATCAACACCCCCACATCTAGAGCCTCAAACAAATACTTCATGAAGGGGAACATCACTGAGACAATCAACACCCCCACATCTGGAGCCTCAAACAAACACTTCATGCAGGGGAACATCACTGAAACAATCAAAACCCCCACATCTAGAGCCTCAAACAAATACTTCATGAAGGGGAACATCACTGAAACAATCAACATCCCCACATCTAGAGCCTCAAACACATACTTCATGAAGGGAACATCACTGAAACAATCAACACCCCCACATCTGGTGCGTCAAACACATACTTCATGAAGGGGAACATCACTGAAACAATCAACACCCCCACATCTAGAGCCTCAAACACATACTTCATGAAGGGGAACATCACTGAAACAATCAACACCCCCACATCTAGAGCCTCAAACACATACTTCATGAAGGGGAACATCACTGAAACAATCAACATCCCCACATCTAGAGCCTCAAACACATACTTCATGAAGGGAACATCACTGAAACAATCAACACCCCCACATCTGGAGCGTCAAATACATACTTCATGAAGGGGAACATCACTGAAACAATCAACACCCCCACATCTAGAGCCTCAAACACATACTTCATGAAGGGGAACATCACTGAAACAATCAACATCCCCACATCTAGAGCCTCAAACACGTACTTCTTGAAGGGGAACATCACTGAAACAATTAACACCCCCACTTCTACAGCCTCAAACACAAACTTCATGAAGGGGAACATCACTAAAACAATCAACATCCCCACATCTGGAGCGTCAAACACGTACTTCATGAAGGGGAACATCGCTGAAACAATCAACATCCCCACATCTGGAGCGTCAAACACGTACTTTATGAAGGGGAACATCACTGAGACAATCAACACCCCCACATCTAGAGCCTCAAACACATACTTCATGAAGGGGAACATCACTGAAACAATCAACACCCCCACATCGAGAGCCTAAAACACGTACTTCGTGAAGGGGAACATCACTGAAACAATCAACACCCCCACTTCTAGAGCCTCAAACACATACTTCATGAAGGGGAACATCACTGAAACAATCAACACCCCCACATCAAGAGCCTCAAACACAAACTTCATGAAGGGGAACATCACTGAAACAATCAACACTCCACATCTGGAGCGTCAAACACGTACTTCATGAAGGGGAACATCCCTGAAACAATAAACACCCCCGCATCTAGAGCCTCAAACACGTACTTCATGAAGGAGAACATCACTGAAACAATCAACATCCCCACATCTAGAGCCTCAAACACGTACTTCATGAAGGGGAACATCACTGAAATAAACACTCAATCCCCACATTCACCATTACAATCCCCTTTTCAGTCGTCTCTTTCAACAGTCAAAAAGAACAAGGGGACCTATCACATCATATCAGACGAAATGCATTTGTTTAACACCGATTGGTTTATCTCTGACAACAGTGTAGTTAACACTGATTGGCTAGATCAGGACAACAGTGCTGATTGGCTAGTTCAGGACAACAGCGTGGTTAACACTGATTGGCTAGTTCAGGACAACAGTGTGGTAAACACCGATTGGCAGATCAGGACAACAGTGCTGATTGGCTAGTTCAGGACAACAGAGTGGTTAACACTGATTGGCTAGTTCAGGACAACAGCGTGGTAAACACTGATTGGCTAGTTCAGGACAATAGTGTGGTAAACACCGATTGGCAGATCAGGACAACAGTGCTGATTGGCTAGTTCAGGACAACAGAGTGGTTAACACTGATTGGGTAGTTCAGGACAATAGTTGGCTTAACACTGATTTGCTAGTTCAGGACAACAGTGTGGTTAACACTGATTGGCTAGTTCAGGACAATAGTTAGCTTAACACTGATTGGCTAGTTCAGGACAATAGTTGGCTTAACACTGATTGGCTAGTTCAGGACAATAGTTGGCTGAACACTGATTGGCTAGTTCAGGACAACAGAGTGGTTAAAACTGATTGGCTAGTTCAGGACAATAGTTGGCTTAAGACTGATTGGCTAGTTCAGGACAATAGTTGGCTTTACACTGATTGGGGTAGTACAGGACAATAGTTGGCTTAACACTGATTGGCTAGTTCAGTACAATAGTTAGCTTAACACTTTTTGGCTAGTTCAGGACAATAGCTGGCTTAACACTGATTGGCTAGTTCAGGACAATAGTTGGCTTAACACTGATTGGCTAGTTCAGGACAATAGTTGGCTTAACACTGATTGGGTAGTTCAGGACAATAGTTGGCTTAACACTGATTGGCTAGTTCAGTACAATAGTTGGCTCAACATTGATTGGCTAGTTCAGGACAATAGTTGGCTTAACACTGAATGGCTAGTTCAGGACAATAGTTAACTTAACACTGATTGGCTAGTTCAGGACAATAGTTGGCTTAACACTGATTGGCTAGTTCAGGACAATAGTTGGCTTAACACTGATTGGGTAGTTCAGGACAATAGTTGGCTTAATACTGATTGGCTAGTTCAGTACAATAGTTAGCTTAACACTTTTTGGCTAGTTCAGGACAATAGTTGGCTTAACACTGATTGGCTAGTTCAGTACAATAGTTAGCTTAACACTTTTTGGCTAGTTAAGTACAATAGTTAGCTTAACACTTTTTGGCTAGTTCAGGACAATAGTTGGCTTAACACTGATTGGGTAGTTCAGGACAATAGTTGGCTTAACACTGATTGGCTAGTTCAGGACAATAGTTGGCTTAACACTGATTGGCTAGTTCAGGACAATAGTTGGCTTAACACTGATTGGCTAGTTCAGGACAATAGTTGGCTTAACACTGCTTGCTAGTTCAGGACAACAGTGTGGTAAACACTGATTGACTAGTTCAGGACAATAGTTGGCTTAACACTGATTGGCTAGTTCAGGACAATATTTAGCTTAACACTGACTGTTGTTTTTATGACAATAGCTTCACTGTTTTTCAATTTTGGAAATGGTTGTTGCAATGATTTGCAACTACAAAGTACTGTTACAAATTACATAAAATGATTTCATTCATTGTTGATGCAATCATTGGGATTCACCAAAGATTTTCCCTGCAAAAACCCCCATGTATAATGTTTATTACATAGCTTAATCAATTCTCAATTTGAAATACAGTTTGCTTGTCCCTGAAGAATTAATGTTAATCAACCTATTCTGCAAAACCTCAGTAACTTGAACTACTAAAAAAGTAGTGTCAGTGTGACCCTCAGTAACATTGCTCATCCCGACATTCACCCAAGTTCTTGATACCTACCGCCCTCTTGTTGAAGTTTGCGAACTGTTTGACGCAGATGTCCCTCACCGTCTCCGGGTCCGATATCAACATCACCGGGTACCGCGCATGGAAGAGCCTGAAGAATACAATGTTGGTGCAAACAGTATACGATCCAACATTTGGGTTTTTTATAACTATTTTAGTTTTAACAGAATTGCGTTGTATCAAAGATAAAAAATGCATACCAACAGCGTTTTACAAATACTTCTCTGAATGGGTATTGAAAAAAAGTGTCTTGTGACGACAGGAGTGTATCAAACTTCCAAATATTTGAAACTATGTAGAAGTTAAGCTTTATGTAACTTTGCCTACGGTGGCTATGAGCTGGACAAGGTTCAAGGTATTTTTTATATGAGCTACAAACTTTACTCTTTCAGGAATCACAAGATCAATTTCAAGTTTGTGAACATTAAGCTGAATTAAACAAACCAATATGGTCCTATTTAATTTAGAGCAATAAAACTGGAAATATTCTGTATGAAATGGGTGTGTACATCACACGCAAATTTGGGACGATCTGATGAATATAATCTGTTTATCACTAAAGGGGGAATCGTACACCAGTGTTCAAGCTGCGGCATTGCGTAATTCATGCATACTATTTGGATCTGATGCAAAAGAAATTATCTGTATGCGCTCATAGGCTGCATTTAAGTAATTTCTTGTAAATCAGTTTTGTGTTTGAGTATCAAAATCTTACGTCATTTACAGATCAAAACGATGTCAACTAAATCTGGACGTTTATCTTTTTGTCATTCGCAACATCTCTGTTATTTTCGTTAGCAGATGAAGCCGAATGTTGTAAGAATGAGAAACCTCGATAATACAGTAAATATCATTAGCTGATTTGTGTTAGCCAGTCGTATCACTTGTCATAAAACAAACACTTGAAAAAGGTTGCTATTGCACTCAATAATCTGATATACTAGTAAGTTGTGATGACTGAAACTGACCCTGGTTTTCACAATATCTGCATCTGTAGGTTATCACATTAAGCACTGGTGTTGATTGTTTTATACCACCAGTTCAACTGATAAAATTCCCAATTCACATCTGATTTATCAATACATATTGTAAGATACCAATAACTTGTCAATTGAACACATCAATAAATATTGTAAGATACCAATAACTTGTCAATTGAACACGTGTGTTTTGTTCAGAAATATTAATCAAAAGAAAATATTAAGAAAGTGGTGTATGAATTTTACATATATTACTCTATTCCTGACCTGAAGAAATATCCTTTTTGGAAAAATGAACAGTTTTAAAACAAAGTAGTGATGTTTAATATTTACATTAACATCACTGGTTGACTGACATACTGATGTATGTATCAATAGATGTGTATTATTATTAATGAGTAACACAAATATTGGAACCTACCCAACGACACGTCCATATTTGTTAATGTACCTAACATCAGATTTCGCTACTCCCTGAAAGTTGAAACAGAGAGTTAACCAAATAACAATGAGGGCCTTCTGACCTAAAGTGTGTGTGTGTGTGTGTGTGTGTGTGAGAGAGAGAGAGAGAGAGAGAGAGAGAGAGAGAGAGAGAGAGAGAGAGAGAGAGAGAGAGAGAGAGAGAGAGAGAGAGAGAGAGAGAATTATAAACAATTATAGATTTGGAACTTATAAACAATTATTTTTTTGAAAACATAATTTCTCTGTTCAAATTGCAAGTTCGTTTTAATTAGTTCATATTGATTTTCCTAGAAGGAGGCATGTGACAACACACAAAACATGGGCTCCCCCATGCTCTAAATATGTTTGACAAAATCGTCTGTTCTGTTGATAACTTCCAAGTTCTCCTGCATGGATCTGACCCGCATGCTCATGACAGAAGTACACAAAATGATATTATTGATTATAATATTCAATTTCACTACAGTGAAGTAATGTCTGATACTTACATCCTTCGCAAAATCTGCCATATTTCCCAGAATTCCTGGGGCTGGTCCAGGAAGCCCCATCTTCCTGAATGTGCTGTGGGTCCAGGTGATGTGGCTGACAGGGTAACAAGGGAAACGGTGCGTCAGATTGAACAGCAAATGTTGTATAACAGTAAACCCATGGTGCTGTTTCTTTCTGTTTTGCTGGACAACGGTGAGTCTATGAGTAAATCTAGTGTCACAGGGGCAGATATGATCCCAAATTGATATTTACACCATCAAGGAGGTTGCCATGCTCATCCCTCCATCCGCACACCATCCTCAGTATCCTGAATCTATTCTATTGTCTAAATCTCATTGGACTTCAAAGACATTGATTGAGAAATGTTTGCAATTCAGCTAGATTACTAGTATAAATGTGAAAAAAAAATCAGGGCCCATTCATTAATTTGCAGAGGTTTGGAGAGAAGAAAGAATATGACCTTCACCTTTGGCTTGTGATATTTTTATGTTATCTTATGTCTTTAAACGTTTTTCATGACAAATTGCAAAGCACTTTTGATATGAAATGTCCCCATGCAGGCTGTGAGTTTGAGGGGTGGTTCATTAGGTGTACTGGATTAAGGTGCTGCAGTTTGTTCTAGTCGAGTTGTTTCCCAAAGGTATGCCAGGATCCTAGGTTCACAATGATTATCATCACTGGTATATCACCACCATTCCTACTGAAACGTGATACTGTTCAAATAAGCTTTCGAATGATAGTCTAAAACATTCCTTACAGGTTGGTTCAATCCCGTGTACTTTAACATAGTGACCTATATATGGAGACTTCTTTAAGTTGTGTACCTGTCAGGCTGTTGGTTACTTACCTGTATAGAGCGATGGTACACCCCACGCCACCATGCAGCCAGACTGAAAGTGCAGACAACTCCACCAACAGAACTTCCATGTTCTCATGTGCCAACTTACTGGAATTTCAACTGCTGTCGAATCTCGACACCTTTTCAGTGCTGGACCCCTCGCTGCCTGACACACTATAAATAGATACACATCCGCGTGCTGACACAAATATCGTCCAATGAAAAGAAGCGTACTACAGGCTACACGAGAGCGTATATTGCACGGCCAGCATTTCATGGAGACCTGTTGACAAGACTTCAGCGGTTCGTATTGACACAGAGTGTGACTAAGACGAGCCAGTCGAGCCCATGATTTAACTACTGATATATCTGGCCTGTGTTTAACGCATCGGATGTGACCAGCTCGATCATTCTCAATGACTCATATCTAAACAAAACATGATGCCTATACCTATAGAGGGATGTCATTGCCACCCTCGACTGACGCTCTGTCCCTGAATAAATACACATCATTTTGATAGTAAAAATAAACCCAGGTAAATTGAAAAGGAGTCCCAGTCAGATGGGACCTGGGGGTATATGTAGGCTTACTTCATTTTGGGTTTCAGCATTGCAGGGAGGGCTAGGCAGTAGAGACTGTGCTATAGACTGTTGTGACACACACACACACACACACACACCCCACCCCCATTTTGTCAAGTAGATCATTATGTTTTTTAAAAACAATTTCTTATGTATCTACAATTCTTTTTTTCTTAGTGAGTGAGTTGGTTTACGCCGCTTTTAGGGGAATGGAACCCTCGTCTTCAGCGTGACGAGTGAACACCTTAACCACTAGGCTACCCTCACCAACCCTATTTTTCTTAGAACCACATAACTGATGTTGGTGGATGCAGCTACTGACAATTTCGATCAGAATGAGGAAACGATTGATGGGAAATGTACAACATACGCCATGGCGATGGTTATTTATCAACGGAATTTCCGTTCTGCTGATGTCCCACCTATTGATTGACTGCAAAAGAAATCCCTCTGTGAATTAGAGGCATCTGGAATGGGACAGAACATTGTGATATTCAAGAAGCCATCAATGCGTCCAGAACCTTGTCTGGCTGTTAATGATAACACTCAGCAATGTCTAAGTTACAAATCATCAGAAAGACAAGATTTCTCGTGGATACTTCTTCAATGTCTCTCTCAGGAAGAACATATTCCGTCATGGTCTGCATTCAGTTCTTTCCTCACCACTAGAAATGTGCTTGTTGCAACTGTTAGGTTCTTGCCAATTATCCATGCATCACCAACATATCTAGCTAAGGTATTCACTACTCTGCAAGTAGTACAGGGAATAGCGGTACGGTGACAGGTCCCCTAATAGCGATATTCTTGCGAACTACCGCCCCTGTCCGAGTACAAAATATTGGTGAATGATGGTGGACCATCATGCGACGTTCGTGAAACTATGATTTTGAGTCAGGTAGCATCGTGTCATGAGGTACAATTTGTAATTCCCCTCGCACGAATCCTCGACACGGCTCGTCATCGAGATAATACAGATTGGGTTCGTCATCTTTGATATCATCGACCATATTTGATCCATAGCACGTTTTCTACTATCTCCCTCGTGTTCACCTGCATGGTACAAATACCTCACGCTGACCTGGTCAGGTAGTGTTTACTCTTTTGTGCGTGGTGCGGACGATTCAGTGATAGATTTTATAGGAGCCATAAAATCTGTAAGGCACCGGTGACTTTCGGCAACCAAATTGCAATTGAACCAAAAAGCCCACGTTTCGAGACATTTCAGTTACTAGAGCGGACTACCAGGATTGGTACTTCCTTTTGCCAACAAATATCCTACATTTCTACAATAAGAGAAGTGCACTCTAATTAGAGACATGTAGGGGGGTAAATATATAGACAAAAATGCCAGGAACCAAGCTATCCGATGAAGCCTATGCCGAGATCTGATCGGGTGGTCTGTCCCTCGGAAAGCAAAGAGAAGTACCACATATCGCAAGTCAGATATATGCAAATCCAGTGCAAGAAACCTCCAATATGACAGAGGGCTTCAAGACCCTGCTAGAGAAGTGTCCACATCTATTCCTTTCCGAAAGAGAGAAACAAATCCTGGAGTGATAGCAGATTCTTCAACAGTTTCTCGAACCCTATTTGCTGTGCTCTCGGCGATTTGTCGAAGCCATTTTGTCTGCCTCTACCCACCCAACCAACTTCGACCTTGAGTGGACAAACTCAGACTCGTTCTTGACAGTGACTGCCTGGAAACTGAGCACAGACAACACAGATGCACCAACTGCCTCGCCACTCTACCACTGGTGCGTTTCCTCTTCAAGCTCGACAACTCTACTTGCAAATGCGGCACCACAGACCACTGCATTTGGAGCAAGAATTGTATTCTCTGGAAAAACAGAGATAAACTATACATTCCCGGCCCGCAACGACTCCCCCTACTCAACTTCTCCCACTCGAGGTGCTGAAACAATCATGATCCCTACTGTATCTCAAACATAGAGAAACTGTACGACAGTGACTGCCTCTTCTGGCACCTGTAATACAAACGCCTCCTCGACAAATTGGTGGACAATTGTCCATACGGGAAAGATTCTTGTATCTTCCAGCAGCTAGCGGGGAAAGCAGAACCACCACCACGGGGATGAGACAATGTTTGACTGGTCCAAGGATATGGAAGTGGCAGTGGCAGACGTTTTGCTATAGCTTCTGCAAGCATGCATATGAAAGCACACATAATTTTTTATTTTTTCGCCATGTGGAAGGGGTCCCTAGGTTTGGGCATTGCTGTCTTTTCATTGGCCGGTGTTCCGATCATCCAGTGAGCAGTGCTTCCAGGTCCTATGGACAACCTTCCAGACAAATATGGCGGCTATCGAAATGTAAGTAAACTTTTGAGTCGATTCTACCATCTGTGCCACCTTCTGTATATCCAGACGGGTCTCTTCTTGTTGCTCCTCGATGTTTTCTGTTTCCTCCTGGAGGTCATCATCATCGTCATTGTCCAGCCTAGAAAAGATGTCGACCAAAATCATTCATGGTTTGCTCGTAGAGCCTTTTGGACCTGATACCGCATTTCTTCTTCATCCAATAAATCTGTGCCATCCGCGGTGTGCTCCCGGCAGCAAAGGTTCATTAGATCACACTAGTCCCCTGCAGGAAGAAGTAGTTCTTCTCGAAACCATAGTCTACCATAGTTCGTAGAGGCTTTTGGACCGGATACCGCATTGCTTCTTCATCAAAGAAATCTGTGCCATCCGCGTTTTGCTCCCGGCAGCCAAGGTTCATTAGAGCACGCTAGTCTCCTGCAGGAGGAAGTAGTACTTCTCGAAACAACTTAGGATAACAGGAAGAAAACTGTCACCAACGTTTGCGTACCGGGACAACTACCTTAGTGCTACTTAGGATAATCCGAGGCTGATTTTGATCTTCATCTTGACACAATACCATTGTTTCAGGCTGCTGGTCGCACGCTGTATTCTAAATTCACCCTTGTCTATGTGTCTGAAATGAAGAATTTGGGCAAAACACAACCAGACTTATATGATCAGTTACAAGCAGGAGCTTTTCTGGTCAGGAGAACTGGTACCAACAGATCAAGCACTTGAACAAACAATCAATCGTAGATGCAAAAGTACAGGGGGTATAATTGGCTTCACATTGTGGAAGGGTGCCCTTACCAGATGGCTACTTACCAGGCACATAACAGGAGAATATTTATCTTCATTCGAGAACAAGAGCAATGGCAGAATCCTTTTGACTTGAATATTGTACCAAAGGACTTAATTAGCATTGTTACAGGCTTTGTTGCAGGGAAGGAGGTTGAGTGTTCTCTCATCAACTGTATTGACAAAGGATCACAGATTACACACCATCGACGATTGTTAGCTTTGGGAGCCTCTCACTCGCTTAAACTTATTTACTTTCTCAGATTGCAAAGGGAAGAAGCATAGTGAAAGTATTACCTCAGCTACAGATTCAGAGGGTTTGTTCCGGTGCTTGTTTTCAGTTGCATCTACAGAGATGCTGACCTAGCAAATCTACTAACACATGAGCTAGCAAGTGTTCCTCTATCTCTGTGTACCAATGAAGGAATACCATGTAAAACAAAGAAGGCAGAGCTTGGTAAGAAAATAGAATCAGTAATCTCCAGACTGATGCACAAGGTAAATCACAAACATCATACCTAATTGATGGCATGGCAATGCCAGGACCTTCAATGAAAGATATTTCAAAACCTTTGATGATATTGCTGAGCTTCTTAGAAAGCGCCATTGTTTCCAGTCACCAACCCATGTTGTATCTGGATCCCGCAATGTTCCACATTATCATCGGTGTCTTACCAACAACGCTAACAAAACAGCAATCGTGAACCATGAAAGTTCCTATGTTGGTTCTAACATGCACGAGAGAATCAAAGATGAACAGAAGCTAATGGTTTGTGGTGGATTCACTGATGGCAAAGTTGTCAAATCAGTCAGGTCACAAGGTATTGAAGAAATCATCCACTTGTTCTCAACACAGGAGGCTGACACCAAAACTAATTCCGCTTGCAATCTATGAGAGTTCCTCGAATCATGCACTGTGGTGAGATGTAATGACACTGATGTCCTGGTACTTTTGTTGTACTATTGTACCCTTGGACTTATGGAAGGAAGGTGTTACATGCATTGTGGATACATGGGCAATACTGTGAACCAAGCGCGCTTCATACCAGTTTTAGAGATATGTCACATCTTGGGTGAAAGTGTGTGTCTTTGTCTATCAACAGCACATGTGTTCACTGGATGTGACACAACATCTTGCATATATACGATAGGCAAGAAGACACCTTTCAACACACCGTGTAAGCATATCGGAATGTTGACTGGCCTAGAACAGTTTGGTCTCTCTAATTCGGTACCGGTGAAGGTCCGGGTTAGAATGTGCCTTCAATAACCCATGCTTGTGGTAAGAGGCGACTACCGGGATCGGGTGGTCAGGCTTGCTGACTTGGTTAGTATGTCATCGGTTCCTAATTGCGTAGATCAGTGCTTATGTTGTTGATCACTGGGTTGTCTGGTCCAGACTCGATAATTTAAAGACTGCCGCCATATAGCTGGACTATTGCTGAATGCGGCGTAAAACTAAACTCACTCTGTTTCGGACACAACACCAACTGTTGCTGGCGCTGTATGGAAATGTCAGAGATGAATTTACGACTCTTGACGAGCTGCAAGTACAAACTGCAACCACCACAGATAAGCCTGCCTCGTGTCTTCCCCCCGACTTAAGATGCTTTCAGGCAGCATGTAATGGGATGTCAATTTGTGTGGTGTCACAGCCATGTTAGTCAGCCGATTTGCCACCTCCTACTTCTTGTTGATGGAAATTGAATGAAGGAAATTCCATAGTTCCTGTGATGTTCTTGAAAGATGCTGCACCTAATGAGAGATTTGATCCATCTATACTGCGTTGACTCTCATGATCAGTGCTCAACTTGAGGAGAGTGCCAGTGCTTGCCACATGGTATCAGTGCATGTAATTGTGGTTCAGCCTGTAAAAACGGAAAAGCTTACTCTGAAGTACAATAAAGAGACCCTTGGCAGAATTTGTTTAAATGTTTTTCATATGAGCTTGACGCAGTTTCAGTTTCTGTCCTTCGGGTTTTCAGGTGTCAGGACTTCTCTTCATTAAAAGTGTGCTCAGAAAGGCTGTTGGTATATGTCTTTATCGCTGAGATCATTTGTTTTGTCACTGCAAATTGATTTTCTGACTGAGATGTCTGGAAACCAGTTAGTCTAACATTATGATCTTTCCTGTGCTCTTATAAATGATGTTGTGAGGGATGATTACATCTGATGATATTTACATAACTGTAAAATACAACATAAAGATGCATTCATTTGTGTCCTGGCAACAATTTGTGTCTGAAGTGATCACATTTTTTGCTGTGCATTACAAGTTATAATGGCGTTCTGTATAAAACATGTGATTGAGAATAAAATATAATGCCATGTTCATGTAACCTTGACCTTTGAACATTTATATTTTCTTGTTTGTAAACAACCAACTTACATGTTATAAGTCAATCACTGACATAATTATGTCAAGTAAGGTTTTCATGATTCATCGACTCATTTGAACCATGACTTTGACCTTTGAAAATATCTATAATATCTGAAGGTCATACATAATTAGATCCCCACCATTTAACAGTGGGACCCCAAAAAGAATAACACTAATTGAACATGTAATGCAGTCGGCTCTAAGACATTTTATAAACTGCCGGTATTGACTTTTAGTCCAGGTTTGACCTTGAAGGTGTTTCTTCAAATGTACTTTATCAACCGGAGTCATGAATCACACGGACACCTGTGAGCACTCTTGAAATCTATGTTTAGTTACATAAAGGCATAATATAATGCATTTCCATGATACAATTAAAAATCCATGGTAACCATGGAAACATGATGACTCCCATGTGTCTTAGCAATTACTAGCCTGAGATGTATTTTGCTAGAAAGCTAAGTCTGTGAGGTGTCTTATAATAACACACACACGGTGCTGTATTTAATAGATACACAGCAGTTAATAAAGATGCGAGATATAAGATAGAATGTCAAGTAAGAATAGCAACTGTAATCGGATGCTTGGATCAGCACAAACATTCGCAAAAATGATGAAATCACTATTCATAGCGGAGACTCAGCCATTTATATGTAGCAGTTATGTTCTCTGAAACACAGCATGGTTACCATAGAAACGCCCCAAAATGACTTGTTGCCTGTCACTTTCAAATCTGGCAACAATGGTTTTGGAAGACTAGAGATTCCAAGCTTTCCAACGGTACCAAATACATCTTGCTATACCTTCGGTAGACGTGTTCCAATTGTTTACACCCCAAACCACTGCTCTATCAATAAACATTTTTTAACCCTTTTGAATATTTGCTACCACCACGAAGATCTGCACCCGAGACGGCTCCACTCAGGCTCGAGCCCTAAGCTTCCACGCTCTCTTTTTCTTGTTCGGTTTCTTTCGTTTTAAGGCTTGCTGCCATAAATCAGTTCTGTTCGGAAAGTTATTATGGCTAAAATGGCGAAAAGGGAGAGCAAAACGCCCATTACAGGTTCTACTACACTAAATACAACTTAGCTGCTCCCTGAGACAGTATCGTATGTAAACGTCAGTCCTGATGGAGGCATATGACAGCTGTGATTAGATGATATTGTGTAAGATGTTTATGTTTTTTTAAATGTACATCCATCCAGTCATTAAGACTGACCACATTTTGTAATATCTACTACTGCCTTTTTTAACACGATGACTGAAACACGCTGAATGTGTGCACAGATATTTTCAGGTAGGTGACATTTCAACCTCCACACTCAGGCGCAGTGATAACATGGACTGTGCAAGATGTGAGGAATCTGTCTGGCCTGTGGCAGAGGTACTATCCTGGCCCAATGGAACTCTGGGTAGGAGAGTGTTCAGCTTCCAGTACACAGAAAATTATGGAATCCTGGAAGGGACATTGTCGCGTTGTCGCCCTCTCAAATACAAGCAAAATTAAACAAACGCGACATTTCGCCCATTTGTCGCATTGTCTCCTCACCGCTCCTCTCCTTCTGCTCCTCTCCTCTCCACTTTTCTCCTCTCCTCTCCTCTCCTCTCTCCTTCCTCTCTCTCCTCCTCCTCTACCTCTCCTCTCCTCTACACTCCTCTCCTCTCCGCTCCACTCCACTTTCACTCCTCACTCACTCACTCAAGGTTTAGGGAACTTGGTAAATTAGCAAGATATTTCATTACAATAATGTGTTGTGACGTCTGTTTTTCAGTTCTATTTGAATCCTATATTATTTATAATAATAATAATATACCAAGTGATACACATGTACTTGTATCGTTTCAAACATACACCTACTCAATCATAATAATTTTCATCAAAATGGCCAGTTTCAATACATCCACCCCATTCACCAAGAACTCTTAACCCACAGACTTCACGGCCGCATTTATTATTACTCTGAGTTCGATCCCTGTGTATCTTAGCCCTTTAAAAACATCTAAACATAATCATCCTTGTAATAGTTTTGAAATTCCGCGGTAACTAATAAAACGCGACGCGACAATGCGACAACGCGACGATATTCGACTAAAATGCGATTATAACGTATTTGACGCGACAATGCGACAACGCGACATTTTGATGTTGCGTTGTCGCATTGTCGCGTGTCTAAAACCTTTGTTAAAATATTGATTATAGAATACATTATATAACCACAGGAGTTCGAATCACTGTTTGGACAATACAAATAAAAATCTAGACTTTTGCAATTGTATTATGTTTTTTTAATGTTATGATTAACCTATATTTCAAATTTGAACGAGATCGGTGAAGAAATGAATTTTTAAGAAAATTCTACCGTTACACTCAAAACCTTATCGAAAACCGGACAGCCCGACTATTTTAACGTGCGGTTCAATCAAAACTTACGTTTTTCACAAAACATTGTTTTGAGCTTGTAAGTTATTCTTTTACCTTTCTGCTCATTGTATTCAATTTGTCTACCCGCTTTTGATATTTGAACACTGACCCTCGCATTAGCACTACCCTCTGCTTTGAAAAAATGTCTGGCCTCTCTTCGGTAAACATTGACAGTTTCCGTAAATCTTTCCGTGTACGAAAACGTTATTTATGCAGGTTCGAGACACAAAAATCGTTACAATAACAAAGACCCCATTTTCAACACCGACATGTGCGTTGATATTTCCTGCCAGCTCGGTATTGTGTCAAAATCGTACACATAAAACATGGATCTGAACGATCACATTGATTGAATATAGTTAGCATCTTTATTTTAACATAGTTGATGACGTATAATTCGATGATTTGGTCCCATTTTCTCCTGTTGTTTGCTGGAAATAAACTAAACACCCAGTAACAGTAACTAGAAAATTGTTGTTTACCACATTATGTAATCAATAATAAATAGATCTAATACATGTGTAACACATAACTGATTAATTCAACCATTTATTTTTGACAATGTATGTGAAGAAGAATATATTTATTATTTTTTACTCATTTTGCATATGTCATTGCAAAATAACATCTATTTCTATTCTTCCATTTTGCATGAGGTTGATCACGGTGATGGAATATACATAAAGATCTTCAGCGACCATGGCATTACAACATCTGCGTGAAAAGATGCTAAAAGCGGCGTAAAACCAAACTCAGTCAGTCAGTCTTCAAATCATGAGACCATGTATAAGTATTTCCACACAAAGAACAGAAATCCGTCTTGATGTTTCTCCTCAAAAGGTCAGTGACAGAACAACAAGGTTCTGGGCTATTCATACCTCCATTCATTGGCTCTTCTCTGATTCTCCCATGACCATAGACCAGACTGGTTACACCATCTTCGGGAAGATATCGCTTGTCATTGAAGGGAGACGACCAAATATCAGTGCATAAAATGGGTTAATATGGGAAATGCTAATGGAACTATATTATTAAATTAATTGTTGTGATTGCACGTGTAAAAATGACTGTAAAACTTAGTGATAACGTTTTTTCGGTTTTTATCAACATGGTTTACAACCACTGACCTAGTTCTACAGGTCACGTCTGTTGTACATAGCCAGGCGTGTATGCACAGGCTAAGACTCGAAATATATTATAAGATACAAGTGGACAGACATTACACTATATATAAAACTATGTATAAACCTGGGACAGCCTTCTGTTCAGTTGGGAAGACGTATGTATGTAGCCTGTTACAGATTCGTAGGACAGTAAGGACTGAGTTTTTATGACAAGGCATGCTTACATGACGATCTGAAAAAATATGACTGTTGATCTCACAGATTATATGGATTATGCGATACTGTGGATAAATAATAATGAACAGGTGACGTCACTGGCGTTGGGTGTTCTGGTACTCTTATTTCTACCACTACTAAATGCAGCAAAGACGCACCGTGTCTTGACTGACAGCGAATCCCTCTTGTATGCATTTCAGATGCATAAGCTTGTAACCACATATTTGTCCTGATTCTTCTATAACATTTGTTATATTTGGGATTACACTTTCTTAGTAAAGTACAATTCTAGTACTTTTGTTGGGTTGAGTCCCATCAAGGATGGCATCCAATCGCCAGCCATCCGCCAGCACACGAAGTCAGCCGGCTCACCCACCGCGACTTCCAGCCACCGCTGGCGATTAGGTGCCTGACTCTGAGGGTGTGGGTTCGAAACCCGGATGGGACTCAACCCGACAAAAGAACTAGAATCTGTACTTTACTAAGAAAGTGTAATCCCATATACTAGTATAACATAGGTTACATCTGACCACTTTCTAAATGACACTGTGTAATCACTGGTTCTTCTACCTCTTCTACCTCTTTCACTAGTATGTCTTCGCCTACACAGATTCAGTCGTTTTGGTTTCCTTTTCAAAGTCTTCATGCTGATAATGATGCCATTTACATGGGCCAAACAAGACACAATTTCTTAAAACTGGATGTCCAACATGAAACAAATGCATATGCTTTCATCCATGACTTCATCCAAGATGCTAAACCCAAACAGAAGAAGTGAATGACTACTGGTTGACTTTTTCATACATATTTATAAGATCCTTAAGTCCTAATTAGGATATATGAAGTCCTAATTAGGATATATTAAGTCCTAATTAGGAGATACTAAGTCCTAATTAGGAAATAGTATCACCTTATTAGGAGATAGCTATGTCCTAATTAGGAGATGTTAAGTCCTAATTAGGAGATAGTATCACCTAATTAGGAGATAGCTAAATCCTAATTAGGAGATATTAAGTCCTAAGGAGATATTAACTCCTAATTAGGAGATAAAAAAAATTCTGACTGTGGCACTAGGACGCTTCCGTACATTGTCGCGTGTCGCGTTTTAGTGAATTTTTAGACTTCTTTTTACACATCTTAGCTAGGGCGACGCGCGACAACGCAACATATTTTGACCTTGAAAATTGTCGCTATGTCGCGTGTCGCCATTTGGAGGAATAGAAAAATATTATTCAAAACGCGACATCGCGCCAATACGACAAATGGGCGAAATGTCGCGTTGTCGCGATGTCGCGTGTCGCGTTTTGGTTTATTTTACCTCACTTTACTTGTTTTTGACAACGCGACAATGCAACATAGCGACAATGTCCTTTCTAGGATTCCACAGAAAAAGAATCGGTTAACCAAGTCAAAATATGTTTTTTTATTTCAGCTCTCAGACCAAACTGTGTATATATGTACGTGTAATGGTTTTCAAGTAATTAAACGCCCTGTTTATTGTTCAAGAACACATAAGGTTACTACGGAAGTTTATGGGAAAAAGTAAGGTTTTGTGTATCCAAACTCGCTTGGGACACGGAACCATGCTGAGGTATAGATCTACTGTTTCTTTTCAAGTGTGACTTATGATTTCGCACATCGGGTCAGCAAAATCAATTAAAAACCATCATCAATCAAGGCAAAGACGTATATATTCGTCTTTGATCAAGATAATCCGCTCAAATTGAATGTTATACAATTTCGTTACACTGTGTACAGAAATGAGAACGTTGTAACACTTTATATACACGTGTACATGTTGGGGACCGCCACGTCAACACAGCGCGGTACTGGACGAAACACAGAACCACCCCACCAGGTTGTAGGAAGGTTGAATTTATTTTAAACGTTAAAGACTTTACAAGGAAATACTCCCTGTTAAATTTCAGCAGCAGTATTTTGCACTTAAAAGTGAATCTATATGGAAACACGTGCTTGGCTTTGACACTAACATCAACATCAGCATTGTACTGGCGTATGCATACTTCTGGCGTAACGACAGCATTGTGCCTCCGATATCGTATTTTGTGGAGAAACAACGCATTGGTGTACGGCCGTGACCGCAGTGGCGTGACGTCATCAGCAGTGTGACGTCACTGTCATTATACATTTAGCGCCACATCAGCTTCGTCTGAGGTCACAGAGTTCACCGACATATAAACAAACAAATTGTTGCATAGTTCAAGAATAATTTTAAACTTATTTGCCATTAAATAAACACAGAAATATGTTACGAGATGTGGTGTTTATATACTAACCTCATAATATCTGTATTTACACTCAGTCAACAATCTTCTTACCTGATCATGAAAACATCCACATGAAAACAAATGACAAAATGTCTGAAAATGTTTTCAACAAGTTTTATTTCTCCTCAAACACAACAATAATTCTAACCTTGGTCCCACAATGTAAATACGACGACGTGCACGGCACACACCACGTCACTGTCAGTAACAGCCTCATCACTGTCTACACCACACCACACGACTTCACCGAGCAGCACGTGACACGAGATCCACCAGTTGATGTCCCCTGCCACTCGCCACGTCGGCCGCTGTCTCCCCGTCGTTGTTCCTGGCGTTGACGTCCACCCCGTCCTGGGACAGTATCAACTCCACCGTCCCCACGTCGCCTCCCACACAGGCCCAGTGAAGGGTGTTGTTACCGACCACGTCCACCAGTGACACATCAGCTCCTCTACTCAGTAGCAGCTCCACCATCTCTCTGTATCCCCCAAGTGCTGCCATCATCACCGGTGTCAGGCTCCTCCCTCCTCTATAGTTGACGTCTACCTGTCCGAGATCCAGGACACGCTTCACCTCGGCCATGTCCCCATCACAGCAGGCATCAAGGAGGGCGTCAACATGGCGGGGGTTGGAGTCTTTCTGTGTCACTGTAACAGAAACTTGTACATTGTACACGTGATGTCACTGTCTATCAATACAATACAGCAAATAATTGTACATTGTATCTAATATGCGTGGATCGAATGTCAGGTGTAAATTTTGTCAATTTTGTAACGTCTGGAACAGTGCTTATCTGGTGAATGAAAACACATTTCACATTCTGTATTTACTGTTTCAACTCCCTCACAATAACTTATCCTGATCTGTGATACAAGTGTTGACACTGGCTTGACATTCCAGTACCACAGTCCTGCCTACTGCTCTCACCTCAATGACGTGGAACACTAACTTATCCTGATCTGTGATACAAGTGTTGACACTGGCGTGACATTCCAGTACCACAGTCCTGCCTACTGCTCTCACCTCCTTGATGTGGAACAATAACTTATCCTGATCTGTGATACAAGTGTTGACACTGGCGTGACATTCCAGTACCACAGTCCTGCCTACTGCTCTCACCTCCTTGACGTGGAACACTAACTTATCCTGATCTGTGATACAAGTGTTGACACTGGCGTGACATTCCAGTACCACAGTCCTGCCTACTTCTCTCACCTCCTTGATGTGGAACAATAACTTATCCTGATCTGTGATACAAGTGTTGACACTGGCGTGACATTCCAGTACCACAGTCCTGCCTACTGCTCTCACCTCCTTGACGTGGAACAATAACTTATCCTGATCTGTGATACAAGTGTTGACACTGGCGTGACATTCCAGTACCACAGTCCTGCCTACTGCTCTCACCTCCTTGATGTGGAACAATAACTTATCCTGATCTGTGATACAAGTGTTGACACTGGCGTGACATTCCAGTACCACAGTCCTGCCTACTGCTCTCACCTCCTTGACGTGCAACAATAACTTATCCTGATCTGTGATACAAGTGTTGAAACTGGCGTGACATTCCAGTACCACAGTCCTGCCTACTGCTCTCACCTCCTTGATGTGGAACACTATCGTCAGCTGCTCTCACTGTGGCGGTGGTCCCCATCTCCTTAACGTCACTCGAGGCTGAAGAAAAACAGTTAGGTTTCAGAAATGACAAACGAGTTCTACACTTTATATCAGATCTACATTATATCAACATTATATTTACTATATACAATATATTCAGTTGATTTAGTATTGCGTCAATACGTGAATATCCAGTTGGTCTGTAATACTAGATCTATACATCAAATACTCAGGTTTTAGTACAATGTCTATACAATATATTCACATGGTTTTAAGTACCAGATCTACGCAGTACATTCATGTGATTAATTCTATAACAATAACAATCAGGTACAAGTTTGTTCATTAGTCTGAGCTAGTTTTCTAATATTTAAGTTACCCCCAGAGCCAGTAAAGTTGGGTCTGTATCTAATACTTATTTTATCACCAAACAAATTTACTATACTGTACCAAACACAATGTTCAGACAGTCTCCAAGTTTTACCTCCATGTTGTTCAGCTTCATCCCCGGCTTGTTGATAGACCCCTGTCTTGAAGTCACCAGACACTGGAGGAGAGAATATGATACTTAGAAGATTAGACTTCATGTAATCTACATTCTAACAGAGAATGGTAACAATATGTTCCACCTGCCCTATTGACAGCTATCAATACATACACTGCTTGTAAAACATATGGATAGTTCAACGACTAATTTTAACTAATATAACATGGAACATGTTGGTGATAATATATCATTGCATTGAAACGAAAGGTTTAAGAAGTTAATAATGTGTTTTTTTTCTTCTCTCTATCACTTGTCGCTTTCTAACAGAAGAGAAACAGGTCTCCCTGCAGATACAACGGTCTCATTCAGTACTGCAAGTGCACCAAGTTTACCGTCACGTTTACAGGGATTGGGATAGAGAACTTTGACCGCCATTTTCAGGATTATTAGCCATTTTCTGAATTTAGAATGGGCCACTGCCCTTGTATCAATAGTAAACTTCCAAAATTTTAATGGGCCATTGTTTATTATATGTGCAAAATGGCCCACGGCCCCTGCCTTTTCCAATCCCTTCTTTTAACCCGCATGGTCTATCAGCTGGTTTGTTTACCGCTTTCTGCCGCGCTGTGATTACGTCGCGGTTTAAAAATGTATACATTGTATAAAGACTGTCACAACGTCCGTATTTCTGCATACAGTGTAACCAAATTGTATAACATTCAACTGGGGTCGATTGTCGTTTCAACATCACGTTTTATCAACAAATCCCAAAAGTAAGCCATCAGTATAAGTGCGGGCATTCAAGCTATTCATGTGGTTAGTCAAGTCAAGTAAGCGCCCTTGTTTGAAATGTACAGTCTGTAGATGTCCAACAATCAAAGCATCGTGTCACTGACCACTTACTTGTTCTTCGGGTGTTACGAACTGTTGTTAATGGTTAAAGTCTAATTAAGATCTTGAAACCTGATTAATTTTCATGAATTAACAAGAATTTTAATAGTTATGTTTCAAAGGCGCATAAAAAAAGAATAGGCTGTTTTTAGAATTTCAAAGTAACTTGCGTAGATAAAAGAAGAAACTAGTTTTTTTACAATACATGCCAGTTGTAGATTTAATCAGTACATTGATCGAAAGTGAAACTTACGAAAATACTACATACATACAAATCTCAAGAAATGTGTTTCAATTAAAACATACTAAAGATTTACTACTTAAAATCAATTTAAAACCAGATATCGCCGTCTCACCGTATTTCGCATTTAGAAGTAGAGCTTTGCCCAAAATATAATTTTGGGGAGTGTATGTAATGCGCCTTTTATCATATTGTTTTCTACCTTAGAAATCTAGTATAACTATGTTCTCTTAAGGACAAACAACGCGATGGTTTATTTCAAGTGAAGTTTTCCATTTAATTTCATTTTACCAAATGAAATGTTTGAAATAGATATTGACCGCAGATAAATGAAACTAACGTTAATGTTTTCCCCATAAAACTAAAAACAAAATAATTAAATACTGAACTATGGAAATGAAGCTGGCAACATATATTGTAATTTTCTGTATTTTCCCCATTAATCTATATTCGTGAATTCTTCTGTGTCGTTTGTCATGACTAAACTACAGTCTGAAGGGAACACATACAAGTTCACATTGTGAAAGTAATGAAAAGACCAACACAAAATGCATTCATCTAGCTCCAAGACAGATTTGTCTCCATCTCTGCACAAACCCACATCTACATGCAGACCCAGTGCTTCGCGACTTGAATTCCTGCACAACGTTCACATTTTAGCAGACAACAAATGTGCCTCAGAAAAATAGCCTCGACAGCCAGGGTGGTAAACATACATATTTGCCGTAGTATTTACACGTGTTGAAATAACATCTTATACATTTTGATGAAACTTAACAGATATGGCGACATACAAACGAAACAATAACCCATGTTTATGATGACTGCCTCCACATTTTCAGTTCACTTACCCTGACATTACATCTCATACAAGATTCACATTCCCCGCACTTCTGCCTCTCCGAAAACCTGCCGTGTCATGGCCCAGTGCTCGATATATGACGTCACTACATGACGTAACTTGCCAGATAGATGCAATTTCGCGGCAGTGACCAGCGAGCAGTTCTATGTTCTTTAATCTTATTTGTGACTGGCGGAACGTGACGGAAATACGAGGCTTGTTATAATCGTTGTTGGGTTGAACTTTCTATACCAAACATGCTGACATTACTGCCCTTACTTAGCACTACAAAAACGTCCATAAATATCGATATTATTCATCTTGTTAGATCTTCTACGAATTCATTTATTTCGCTTCTATATTCCTCCGTTGTATTCCCTGCTAAATATATATTTGTTCTTTGTTTTAGTGAAAAGTGAAATATATAATCATCGATAGCATTTGCTCGTGCGTTAAAAAAGATATCTGTGAGCTGGCTTATTATTATAGTATCTAAAGTTGTTGAAGTCATGGGCTCAATTACATGTCATTAATAATGGGAATTTGATCATTTAAAGAGTAAAATGGCAAAGAGATCAAGTTCGCACGATATAAACTTTCACACAGTCTTCACTGAGATTTTGCCAATCGAACGCTCTCACCAGATGAAACATAATATAATAATATTTCTTATAATGTGACTAAAACGTGTGTTGCTATGTGCGTACGTACGGGTGGGAACGGGGATGGGGTTCAGGGAGAAGGCGCATTGATGTGCGTGTTTGTTGTAGGAGGTACGGTGTTCTGTGTGTGCGTGTGTGTTTTAATGGGGAAAAGGTGTGCTGTTATATGTGTACGTACGTGTGTGTTGGATGGGGGGAGGAGGTGTATTGATGTGTTTGTACGTGTGTGTTGGATTGAGGAAGAAGGTGTTTTGTTGTTCGTGTCAGTGTGTGTCGGATAGGGGAAGGAGGTGTGTTCCTGTGTGTGTACGTGTGTTTTGGATGGGGAAGGAGGTGTGTTGATGTGTGTGTACGTGTGTGTTGGATGGGGGAAGGAGGTGTGTTGATGTGTGTGTACGTGTGTGTTGGATGGGGAAGGAGGTGTGTTGATGTGTGTGTATGTGTGTGTTGGATGAGGGAAGGAGGTGTGTTGATGTGTGTGTACGTGTGTGTTGGATGGGGGAAGGAGGTGTGTTGCTGTGTGTGTATGAGTGTGTTGGATGAGGGAAGGAGGTGTGTTGATGTGTGTGTATGAGTGTGTTGGATTAGGGAAGGAGGTGTGTTGATGTGTGTGTACGTGTGTTTTGGATGGGGAAGGAGGTGTGTTGCTGTGTGTGTATGTGTGTGTTAGATGAGGGAAGGAGGTGTGTTGATGTGTGTGTACGTGTGTGGTGGATGGGGGAAGGAGGTGTGTTGCTGCCTGTATACGTGTGTGTTGGATAGGGGAAGAAGGTGTGTTGATATGTGCGTATGTGTGTGTTGGGTGAGGGAAGGAGGTGTGTTGCTGTGTGTGTACGTGTGTGTTGGGTGAGGGAAGGAGGTGTGTTGCTGTGTGTGTACGTGTGTGTTTGGTGAGGGAAGGAGGTGTGTTGCTGTTTGTGTAAGTGTGTGTTGGATGGGGGAAGGAGGTGTGTTCCTGTGTCTGTAAGTGTGTGTTGGATGAGGGAAGGAGGTGTATTGATGTGTTTGTACGTGTGTGTTGGATGGAGGAAGAAGGTGTTTTGTTGTTGGTGTCAGTGTGTGTTGGATGGGGGAAGGAGGTGTGTTCCTGCGTCTGTAAGTGTGTGTTGGATGGGGGAAGGAGGTGTATTGATGTGTTTATACGTGTGTGTTGGATGGAGGAAGAAGGTGTTTTGTTGTTGGTGTCAGTGTGCGTTAGATTGGGGAAGGAGGTGTGTTGCTGTGTGTGTACGTGTGTTTTGGATGGGGGAAGGAGGTGTGTTGCTGCGTCTGTAAGTGTGTGTTGGATGAGGGAAGGAGGTGTTTTCCTGTGTGTGTACGTGTGTGTTGAGTGAGGGAAGGAGGTGTGTTGCTGTGTGTGTACGTGTGTGTTGGATGAGGGAAGGTGTGTTGCTGTGTGTGTACGTGTGTGTTGGGTGGGGGAAGGAGGTGTTTTCCTGTGTGTGTACGTGTGTTTTGGATGGGGGAAGGATGTGTGTTGCTGTGTATGTATGAGTGTGTTGGATGGGGGAAGGAGGTGTGTTGCTATGTGTACGTGTGCGTTAGATCGGGAAAGGAGGTGTGTTAAGCACTGTGTGTGTACGTGTGTGTTGGCTGAGGGAAGGAGGTGTGTTGCTATGTGTACGTGTGTTTTGGATGAGGGAAGGAGGTGTGTTGCTGTGTGTGTACGTGTGTGTTGGATGAGGGAAGGACGTGTGTCGCTGTGTGTGTACGTGTGTGTTGCATGGGGGAAGGAGGTGTGTTGCTATGTGTACGTGTGCGTTAGATCGGGAAAGGAGGTGTGTTAAGCACTGTGTGTGTATGTGTGTGTTGGATGTGGATGTGTGTGTTATTGTGTGTGTACGTGTGTGTTGGAGATGGAAGGAGCTATGAAATTTGTGTGTACCATAAATAGCCAGAGCAGTAACGAGTCTTTATTTTGAAAACATTTTGAATTTTGAACAAATCACGCCCTTGAAGTATATCCACATTCTCGATTGCTTGCTTTGGTGAATCGGACATTATGAAGTTTGTCATTCTTAAGGATTATCCATCATATGAAAATGATTAGGACGTGTGTTCATTACCCAAATATTGATATACGCTCATCTGTCGCTAGTATGCTAGGGTTTCACCAGAGACTGTTATTTTGATAACCTATCCGGCATTGTGTCACATGATCTAGCCTTACCTTGACTACAGTGGCAATATAACTTCTCTTCGATTTTCAACGCAGCCGATATCAAACTTTGGGCCATCTAACACACAATTCTTCATACAGTTTCTACCAATGAACATTACCCTGGAGATTATCGAGGATGGCTTATGTCTTAACACAGTCACGTGTATGTACTTGAAAGTAATTGGGCACAGGTTATCACAACTTCAATGAAGTACAGGAATGTTGTGTTAAATGAGATTAATTGATGATAGCAAATAGCAGAGAAGCAAAGAAACGTATGTAGGTTAACATTTTATATTCAAAGGTGTTTGTTTTTGGTTGTATTCATGTAATTCCACAAAGACGGTTTCACGGACATGGTTATGTCCAACTGACACGGAGTATTCAACCAAACTACATGTTCCTTTCACAATTCATAATCATCATTTCGCTCCTTGGTTCTTTTTGCATATGCATGCATACAAACACACACACACACACACACACACACACACACACACACACACACACACACACACACACACACACACACACACACACACACACACACACACACACACACACACACACACACACACACACACACACACACACACACCGTTTTAGATGTTCTTGATTCATACCAATTCAACTAATTCTACAACACAAATATGTCATCCAGTTCTACCATTCAAAGCTACCATCCATTTCCACCATTCCACCATTTGGTCATGCACCTTATCCCACTGTATCATGCAGTTCAACCATCCAACTCATTTGACCAATCTT